GCTCTCTTTTCCATCCCGTGGGCATGGGAGACTTACAAATGTTCCGCTCCTTTGGGGTGCATTTMTACTCATTGCCCTGATGGGAAGACCACAGAGACACCAGGAAGGTTGTGCAAGCTTCACACTGCTGATCAAACAGGCACATGAGGAAATCAGATGGAGTGACTCCCTAGAAGAGGGAGGAAGGTGAAAAGACTGGCATAAGACTTAAGTTGCTCGCTTGCTCAGAGATCTCCTTTTCCAAAGTCTGTGCGCATTGAGGGCTTCGTGCAAAGTCTGCCTCCTCACTTGGGTCTTCCATGGAAAGTGYGTTTTGCAAGAGCTCTTTTCCAAGCAGTGATACTTACTTGATTTTTGCTCTGTGTTTTAATGTTGCATGTATWGCCAGAAAATCTGATGGAGAATATGTGGAAACAATTATTTTTTGGTGTGGAAGCTGAAGTCGGTACTGTGCAAATATCTACAGTATCAGTACACTGTAGTGGTTGACAACATGCAAATATGAGTTTTACTTTCACTTTGTGGCATTGTGAGGGACAAGGAAGGGTTTTGCAAACAGATCTTTCTGAATGACCCTGCTGCAAGGGGAGCTCCCAGCTGCTGCTGTCCTTTGGTACCCATTTACCCTGCCTCAGGTACCATGAGGGGGGATATATCTGCTTGTTCTGCTTCCTTCTGCACAACAGCAGCATCAACCTGCCTGTGCAGGAGCATCAGCTACGTCGTTGTCCCCAGCATCCTGCTGCTGCCAAATTCAAGGGTCTCTCTCAAGTAAGAGCCGGGTATTCTCTCCCCAACTGTTCCCCAGCCTAAATGAGGAGTGGTTGATAGTCAGCATTTACTAATTTAGGACTGTGGAAAGTTTGTTCTTGATGAAATGCAGTGGGGAGGTCTTGCTCCTCATTCAGTAAGTAATTCTTGCAGAAAAGAGGGCAGTAGGCCTCTTCCCATAATTTCCAGTGCTAACYGCTGCCTAGTGGGATGTGATGTGCCAGTTGCCACTGCCATGGTGGCTAGAGGTGATGGAGCTGCCAGTGTGGATGGTGGTTGGAGATTCACAGAATCTGGGGAGCCTTATGAATGAGCAACCAGCATCTTGCATGAGGTGGTGGAAGAGTACAAATGTGGTAATTTTCGAAAGATACAGTGARGATTTTACCTGGGTAGCATGTGCATTGCTTACAGTGGCAGGGAATTTCTGCAGAGGTGTTTCAGCTTCTGGAAGGATGTTGCTGAGAGGGATCGAGTGTGGTGAGGTCAGTACAAGAGGAACAAAACCTCCCATTYAGATAAAAGCAGGGAAAGGGAAACACTGCCACGTGTGGGACTGGTTCAGGCTAAACTGGTCTGTGCAGTAATTTCTGCAGCTCTCCAGAAACATACTACGGRTTTGAGCTTCCCAGCTCAGACAGGTCTACGATCATGTTCCAGGCTTTGGGAAAGCAGGAACGTCACCATCTGTGTCCTACTTCATTTGAAAAAGAAAATTGAAAAAAATCTTGAATGCCAGCCATCTGCTGGTATCGCATCCAAACTGTATCCCCGTATCTGGGGGCAGAGGAGGAAGATGGTTTCTTTGGGGAGAGGTGCTGTTCAGAGAGAAAGAGCTGCCTGTACCTGGGGTGCTCCTGGATCCAGAAACGATCACAGGAGCAGGATGGCTTGGCTTCTCAGTCAARCCACTTTCTGTAGTGCAAAACCATCCAGCCCAGAGAGAGTGAATCCAAGTCCCATCCTGCAACAGAGTCTGCAGCGCTTGGTTTGTGGATTATTAAGAGGAGATTGGAGCATTTCTGTGAAGTGAATGTGCAGTGATGTATGGTTAGGATCTGCCATACTGATGTTTGACACAAAAAGATAAGTCACTTTTTTTTTGTAGCCTGGTCATTGGGCATGAGGTTGTTTAGAAATACATTTGGGTTGTGGTTTTCACCAGCTGGCTATGAAAATAAGCCCACAGTTTCAATGAGAACTAGCACAGGCCCTTGGCTGGACATGCGACACAAGCAACTTGCTTCTTTTAAATTCTTACCACTGCCCACTGAGTTTTAATGTGGTTATGAAGGTACTTTTTCAGAAGTCAGCATGTCATTCTTCTGTGTTGTATTTCTCTTCTCTGTGTTATGGCTGTAGAGTGCTTCTGTCCTGATAGCTCTGTGTGAATGTGAACAAAGGCAGTAGAGAGTTAAAAAAAAAAATCCATTAATTAAAATATTTACATTGGAAGCTGCAAAACATTTACTTTGAGTAAAACAAACTTCCCCATTGTTCTTGTATGATTGCTACAGTTGCTCTGAAAATAGCCAGGAAGAGGTTGTGCTCTGAGGAATTTTACTGGGTTGGCAGGGGAATGGGAGGGTAGGGATACTGGAGGGGGCTCTTGGTCAATGGTTCTCTTTTGTTCAAATCATTCTGTAATGTGGACAGAAGATCTCTTCTTCATACAGAAAAATCCCCCAAACCAATTTTTTTTAAAAAACCTGTCTCGGTTTTGGAARACAGGTGCTTGCCAATGAAGGCAGGAACTCCCCTTGGAGTGGTGGATATGACCCCCCTTCCCTCCGAATTATTACAGCTTTGTAAAATCACGGGCTTTCAGGCAAGAATATGGGTAAAAGGGAATAACAGTTTTTACTAATATGTGTAACAAGGTGAAACAAGTAACAATAACAATAGCAACAACCAATCCAGTCCCAAACCCAGTGACAGCTTCACACAGACACACCCTCCCCTTTGGTGCAGTTCCAGTCCCAGCCGGCAGGGGCGCTGTTGGCTCCCRGYCGGGCAGGGCGGGTGCGATGATTCCCCGGCAGCTGCAGGGGGCGCTGTGGCGCGGGTCCCGCTGGTTCAGATCTCCCGCGTGGCCAATGGCGGACACAGAACAGCAGAGATGGATGGAGAAAAGAGTTCCTCTGCAAACTCACAGCGGAAACGCCGATCTCGGTGCTCCTCTGGACAGCGAGAAACCCCAGGACAGCCGGATGAGCAAGGAGACGAGCAGAATCCCGTGGCTGCAGACGGGATGCAGCAGAACTCAACCACTGCAGCTGGAATCCCAGGGGTCCTGGCAAGGCACGGGGGCAGAAGATCACAGTACAGCAAACAGGAACTGACAACAGGACACTGGATTCTGCAGCAGCAGATCCACCGTCCTCCCCTGAGCCAAGCAGGGCAGGAAGTGAAGCTACCCCCCGGTCCCCACACACATGCCCTCCCCGAGCCCAAAACTCCCAAGAGAACTTCCCTCTCTCCAAAGAGAAGAAAAAAACCTGCCAGGCAGGAGCAGTGCCCAGGGAGACCCTTTGGGTGGGGCGTAGGTTCTTATGCCTTCCCTAATCGCCCAGCCATCAAAAGAATGGCTTGGCAATCAGTGTATCCCAGCAACAAAATGGGAAAGAAAAATTCCCCAAGAAAGRAAACAAAAGGAGAAACCTTAACCCACAACAAGCCCAAACCCCATAGTGGTGTAACTGTGTTATTATATAATTCTGGTAATGMAAAAAAATTAATGATCATCAAAAGAATCTGAGAAAGTGGTATTTTCAGGATGAAAGGTGATTTATTTTTTAGCACTGTGTACTAATGTACACTTAAGAGGAAAAGGAAGCATCCCATAGCTGGCAGTTTGCAMCCTGGCTGGGGACCCATGTGCTGCTATCCCGGTTTTGCTGGTGGGGAAGTGGCAGATGAAAGATGTCACCTGTCTGTGGCACGGAGCACCTATGGGTTCCTGCTGAGATCTGTTGGCATTGTGGCTGCTCAGTGTTCAAGGAGAGCCAAGTGAGGGTGCCCCTGGTTTTGTACTTTAGGTACAGGGATATGCTTAGYGGCATCACTACAGGAGAGGTAGACAAATATAAAAACTGTTTGCTTCAAGTCTTTTCATTCCTGCTGTATCTCCTTCCACATAACTGGATTGAAAAATTAAGCATTGGTTGGTTTGTTGGTTTTTTTTTTTTTAATGGTATTCTTTCATATGGCGTGCCATTTCACCATTGCACTTTTCTGACCTTTTCGAGACTGGCACTGGACTTCTAGGTTTGTGGGCAGGACACTGGAAGAGCTAAAAGAGCGTGTGAAAGGATTAGTTTGGTTGTGTTTTTAGGTCTTTGATTCACAGTTCTCACTCTAGTCAGACTCTTAGAGCTTTTCAGGTTGCCAGATGGGAGGTCTCTCTTCTGCCCTAGTGACTCATGGGCCGGCTGAATTGCAGGTCATGTCGTCTTTTCTTAATAGAACCATGGCAAAGTGTTTGTTCAAGCCTGAGTATGTCCGGACTGTAAATTTTATTGACAGTTTTAAGGTTGCAAATATGTTGGTTGTGTGTGGCATTCTTTCGTCTGATTCCAAGTATGCTAGACTGTGTCATGTTTACCTATATTATAAAAACATCTTGGTTGCTTTGAAAGGTTGGTCTGTAAAGGTGTTAGGAAATTAAATGTGCTTGTCCAGGGTAGCCATCATTTTAACTTGAACATGAGAGTTTTGTTCCATCCGTTTCTTGCATGCTTTACTGTTTTTAAGGGAGGTTGCATGCTGACAGTTTCTTGGCCTGGAGATRAAAGGTGCTGCTTACCCAGGTTATATGGTCTGATGGAAAATTGTCTCCACGATGTATAACACCACTGGGATTATTTCTAGCTATTACTATTGGTTTCATTTTGCAGCCGTTCACATTATGTAATTTGATGCTCATTTAATTTAATGAGAGGATGCTGTAGACTTACTTACGACTCTGCAGGACAACCTGTATGCTTTGGCCACCTCTGTTATCCCTGCCAAAGGAAGAAGAGCATGTTTCTTACAGGACATGTTACAACATCTTTAATACCTTTATTATCCACGCTTCCCAGATTGCCTCAGATGGAAGTGTGACTTGCCTGGAGTGTAGATTATACTGGAATAGCAGGAGAAGTTTTTTTTTTTTTGGGGGAACTGCTTATTAGACTTTTGTGTTAGGGTTATCAGGAAGTATTAATGGGCTTTTCCTTTCATTGCAGATGGAATTTCATGACTTGCTGTATTTTGAATAGGACAAGGAGATGTGTCTGATAAGGTAAGAGAAAGAATAAGAGACATGTGCCTACACAGAACTGTCTCACTGGTAGGTTTTTTGGGTTGAAGATAACAGTTTTTTCCCCTGGAAAAACCCTGCAAATAATTGTGATGATTAGTTTTAAATTATCTGCCTCTGCCCCTCTGAGCAGGGACCATCCCTATTCTATACAGCTTCTGACCCAGTCCTTCTCCTGGTGAACTGAGGCACAAAGTCCAGAAGACAAAAATGTATGTCCTTACAGGCGTAGGGGTTAGCAAGATAGTCTTGCTATTATTTTAGAGTTTTTTTTTTCAAGTAACAGACTATGTAGAAAAGCTCTTCTTTAATTTTGAGATATTGCCCTTCCCCACATCCCCACCCCCGACATTTAAAAGTTGGAAAGATCTTCAAGCTGTTTTAAGTTCTGCGCTTTACAACTTGTTTTTCTTGTTGCAGAATTTTCAGATTTGGACTGTTTTTTATTAGGACAGAGTATTTATGAGTATAAACACTCTAGGTTTGMGTTTGAAATTAATATTTGCTGTCATTAATGTGCTGAAGGAAGCTGCAAGTTTGCGATCTTCATAAACTTTTTTTTATTAATAGCATTTTTAAAAGGCAGTGTTTAGATAGATACCTTTTCCCTTTCGGTTTCTGCCTCAGGTTTCTACTGCTAGAGAAGAACAGATGTCTCTAGAACTTTTAGATGTTGGGATAACCATATTCAGACAACAAACAGCCGGACACAAAAGTGGTGTTACCTGGGCATTGTCACTGTCTTCCAGTGTACAATACACACTGCAACTATCCTGCTCTATCACTTGTGTGTTTCATTTTTGTCTTCCCCTTGTTCCTGAGTTCTGTACCATTTACAGGCTGCAGAAATCCCTATTCTTTTTGGCTCTTGGTAGSAAAACGTTGTGGAAACAGCTAAATGCATGATGCCATTGTGTGAGGACCAGGACTAAATGACTTCTGCCTTGGATTCAGACATTGAGCTCTTTTAGACATTCTTGATGTTTTYTGATTTGTCAGTTTGTTTCTTATTCTTTTTTTCATGTAAGTTCTGTTTTCTGAGTAGAATCAGCCTTTTGAAGGTGGCTGCTCAGGCAAGAACTGAAAACTTTGAATGGCTCTTGGCATTGTGTGGAGTACACAGGAATCAAAGACTTGGTGGCTGCCTGGGTTTTTTTTGCCAATGTCAGACATTTTGTCCATTCAAGCCACCCTCTTCCATGCCACTGTTGGATCATGCTGTGAATATTTTCTTTAAAGGCTTACTCTACACGAAGGTGGTCTTTTGTGTGTGTAGCTGGTAAAACCCAGCTCTGCAGGTGAGAGAGCTCGCAGTCTGCAGCCCTGTTCCACAAAGCACCTCGCATTTGTTATGTAAACAAGCTGCTTCACTCGCACGTGTTCCAACCAGTCCTCCCATACTCCAAGAATGGGTAATTAAAATTACCCAAGAATGGGTAGTTAAAATTGTTTTCAGGACTTCTTAGAGTTTCCAGCCCATCGTGGGCTGGCACCCCTCCGCACCACTCCACGCACCCTGCTGCGGCTGGAGGCTGAGCGGTGCCCAGCGTGGCATTGCCACCGTGTGTGCGTGTTCTTGTTGGAAAGARGCACAGCCCGAGTGGGACAGGTGGCAGTGCTCATGTCCAGACTGCTTTGTTCAGATTCAGTTGACTGAGAAGTCTGTTTGTCCTGTGTCAAAGCAGTGCTGCAGACTTCGGTGTGCGTCACCAATTGGGACGGGACAATTTGGTGAGACAACAACGTAGTCATACTCAGCTGCTAGTGTTTCCTGAAGACATTATTTTCATGTATTATATATTTATATTATTTAGTAATACATGTACACTAAATAATAGTAATACATGTAYTCCTCTCTTCCGTGGAGTAAAGATTGATAAATCTGTATGGCGGCTCTTGTGGCACAGCAGCTGATTGCTGTCGTGGTGTCTCTCCCAGTGCAAGCTCACTCTCACCTTTTCTTGTAAAACAGCCACTGAGGAAACTGTTTCTAGCAAGTTCTGCAGCTTGAGGCCATGACACCTCCTCTCACTGCTTTACTGGCAGCTCCAGGCAAGTGCAAATTGTAAGCTAGATCCCAGCAACTGGACTGGCTTTAAAATGAGATTTTCCAATGGAGAAGTTGCACTTTTCACAGGCTCTTGTCTTTCACCAGTAGAAGGAAATATTCTGTTCTCATTTTGTGCGATACCTTCTCAGTGTAAAATTTAATTCTGAGCTAGGAGTGGGTGTATCTTGCTCTCCTTTCTCCAAGAGGGCATTGTTTATCCTTTCCCCAGCAACCTGGGCTGGAAAAACGCTACTGCCACACTCTTGGTCCTCCTGTGCTACAAGAAGTGTCTTGTCCTGRTTGTGTTCCTTCTCAAGGCTGCAGGTGTCATTCTTTCAACTATCCCTAACTACTAAAAATATCATCAGTGTTACTTCATTATTTCCTTTTTTAACCTTTTGCTCCCTTTCTGCATTCCCACTCCCCGTTTACATTTAGGTTTTCACCTTTCTAGACAGTCATGTGGATCTTGTCCCAAACATGCCCTCAGGTCCTGACTGTGCCTCCTATCAGTGTTTTCCCTTGGTTGCTTACAGTTTTCATGGATATTTCCTGACCCATTCCCTTCTGTTTCTTCGTCTGGAGGAGTCCTTCGGAAGCATTGCCATGTCTCTGGCTGCCATAGCAATTAAAGGGGTTTAAATCCCATTTAAAGCAACAATAGATGGTGCAGTCTGTGCTGAGAATAASCTTGTTTCAATGCTAGCCATGGTGACTTCCTTGTAATGGCTGGCTTTTGGCACCCGTCCTACTGATTACGTGACAGAGTAGAATAAAAAAAAAAATAATGGCTCTTTTAATATTCCTGAAGCCTAGTGATGAAATTATGAGACTTGGCAAGCTCGCAGCAATGTTGATAGGTGCCAGACCTCTCACCCAATATTTTCTTTTCCTTCCCCCATATTTCCTTGTGCCTTTATCTTGCTTCCTTCCGAGCAGCCTGGAGCCCTTGTGAGCTGCCAGTCCAGTTTTCATGAGGTCTGCCCKATAGCTCAGATCATAAATATAAAATTGTTCTATAAGGCCTAATCTATTTTTTGAGGTAGGTTTATGAGATAAAAATTACTTTGATCGCTGAAACAGCATTGTGTCACTTTTGAAAGGAAATGACAAGGAAGTTACTGTTATCAGGCCTATTTTCACCCACTGTTAGCTTAGACCTGACAAACGGCATCTTCAAGGTCTCTTGTCTTAACAGTTCCAAATTGGGTTGCCAGTTAGTATTGACTATGTAAAAAGCAGTAGGTTGATGTGTATTCTATTATTAATAGCTGTTAATGCCCTTCATAATAGTAATCTGTTTTGCAAACATTTTCTGGTTGTTCTTTTCTAACGAGTCTTGGCAGTGAAACCCCTGATTTTACACATGCAGAACCACAGTAACTCAGTTGAAGTGTTTGTGTGGGTTTGGTTTTGTGTTTTTTTTCATTTTGGGTGTGTTTGTGTTCTTGTTTACTGGGAGAAACGCTTGATTTTGATGAGACAAAATAAAGGCAAAGTCCAGGAATTATTTCTGTCCAGACTGGTACATTGTGGTTTCTTCTTGTGTTAATATGGGTCAGCACAAAACTCTTGCATCACTGCTAGATGAGTTTTAATAATTTCCTTTGACACTGCCCGTGAATATTTTTGTCTCTACAGAAGCCATCTTAGGAAAATTTTCACAATAAGAAAGGTAATTTGAATAAAATGGTAACAGGTAATTTGAGTTTCTTTTCTTGTGTTGTTTAGCTGTTAYGTCACAATATCTGGAAAGTACCTGGAAAGCACAGGGAGAAAAATGGGAAATCTAATGCATGAGGAAAAGCCTCTAGATAAGAGTGTGTAGGGGGAGAATATATACATAAATGTAGACATCAAGGTAAATGCTTTTTTCTTTTCTTTTTCTTCCAGAAAATTTGAATATTTGCACAATCTGATGTTGCAAGTTTTAAATGCTTAACACTTCTAAAAGAATAAATTACTTCAGTGCCTGAATTTGTAGATAACTGTCAGCTTCAAAGGATCAAGTGAGTTGGAAGGAATGTCTGGAGAGCTCAGTATAGGCAGGTATCAGGCAGAATATAGAAATGAGGGGAGTGTATTCAGCTAATGCAACAGAGACCTAGATGGAATTTTATATATAAATTAAGACTAATTATGCTACAAAAAGCAGATTTCTGTGGTTCTGCTTTTGGTGTAAATGCAGGATACTCACTTCCCCCTCCCCATCTCTGTCACACTGGGTTTCCCAAACTGCTTATTACAAGAATTGTGTTGCTTCTGTAAAAATTAAGATGAAAAATTCACCTATTTAATACTKTTCCACCTACTGTTACAAAAAATACTACCTTTGGCTTTAGAATACCCTTGTTGTGAGCTGGCTGGCTCTGTAATATGTAAGTAACTTTGCACTCTTGACTAAGTAGCTAAGAGAAACTGAAATCAGTCCTGTAAAATGCTCACTGCTGGTGCTCATCCCTGAGCTCACCACCYTGGCTGGACACTCCTTCATCCTTCTCTGATGGTGGTGGTGTGGCTGGAGCTGGGAGCAGGGAGTGGGGAGCAGGTGACCAGGGAGCACACGGGGTCCCAGCTCTGCGGCTGTGGGCTGCCTGCCAATGGCAGTGATTGAAAGTAGCGCTGGCAGCCAGAAACTTCCAACTGCAGCTCTGCTAATGACTGGTGTTGTGGTTTTGGGCAACTCCCTTGGTTGTCTTTGAGTCAGCTCCCCTTTCAGTAAAAAGAGAATGATACTTACTGTTGAAATGATTAATTATTGTTTTTAGGATGTCGAGGTCCTGCCATTGTTATCCTTAATTATTGTTAGCCTTAATACAGAGAGCYTTCTTTGCTTTTGTTAAGCCTGGCTCAAGGAACGTTACAGATCGTAGGGRCTATTTTGTTTTGGGGCTTTTTCCCCCCTTTTTTTGCTGTTGATTTATGACATGGA